GAGAATCGCCTGAAATAGCTCGGCGAGAATTGGCAAAAGACATGATCGCTGTGTTGAACCCATGGTTGAACCTGAAATCTCTATGTGGTGACTGAGCAACTTTAGAGCCGCTGATCTGGGCCAGAAGCTCCGGGTCTCAGTATCCTATCTCATTATGGTCAGCTTAATATTGATTTCTAACTCTGGAGGCATTGACGGTAAAGATCAAATGCCTCGCTTTGCTTGATGGTTTCCAAGCAAACGTCGACACGTGCCCATAGAGCTTAGGAACGAATAATTCAGGCACTTTGGTCTTGTTGCTTTTTCCGCAAACGGCCATGTGCTCGAAAATTAGGACAGTTTGAACTTTGAAGAGATGGAATCGCCCTCCAAGAACCAATCCATCACATCTCCAAAATTCGGGGGCATTAGCGAACGGCAATTAAGTGCTTGAACTTTGAAGAACTGGTTTGGGGTCTTTGGTGCTGTCAGACGCAGCCAAGAAGCATGGCCAAATCCTTAGCACAAATGAAGGTTGCCCTAGGCCAAAGTAAGCCTCGGGCGCATTTTAGTTGCCAGGTGGCAGGGCCAGGCCGCCAGGGTTTCCTGCCCATTTCTTTTTCTTTGGGCCAGCCAACTTTTAAGCTCTTCCTTGGAGTGTTCGCAAGTACGGAGTAGGACGTACAGAACACACAGGACCTCGACCGCCGCGGGGTAGCCTGAGCGGGCCAGCGGCGACCTCGAAATGACTCCGAGGTCGCCACAAAATCTCGCCACTGTCAGATCTCCTAAGCGAGTCTTGTCCATTCCAAATTCATTCACTGGAACTCAGCTGGAAAGATGAAGTGACAGTCTAATTGGCTCGACCTCGGTTTCAGAAGGCCCCGATGAACTTCTCAAGGGGCTCTAACCAGGGATTACGCAAATACAACGTACTTCCTACAACCTTGAAGTTCCTAGGTACTCCGTGCCCCTCCGACTTTCCGACTCCCGAGTCTCACGACTCTCCAGGCTGGCTCATCAGCTTGACCGAATCAGAAACCTGTCGCTCATCAAATTTTTTCGGTTAAACAAGTCTGGCGAACCAGGAACGAAAGAACCAGGGATACGTTTACACATTTAGAACCAGTCAACACAATTGCCTCAATAATAATATCTCGTACTCCCCGCGATCATACTCCTCCGATAAATCCCCGGTGGAGAATGCTGTGAACTACGGGACCCATTTGCCTATCGTATCTGCGAATTCAGTGGGGGGCAGCATTGATAGCCATTATACTTGCTGCTTCCGCAGTCACCAACCTGGGCTGGTGGTGCACATCGCTCACCGATTGGAGGATATACCCTCGAGACGCCGGCTCCTCATCTGATAAATGCGGCCAGAAACAGCCATTGGGGATTCGCGCAGTGCGGCGGAAATGAACAAGTGCGACTGTGCTACTTGCAGGGCATCCGTGGATCCTCTTTACACTATTGAGTTTCCTCCAATTCCAGGTTCCTGGCCCTAGCCTGAACACCCCACCCATGCCAGGCACACCTCAGCTCCGAAGGATTTAATGTACCCTCGTTACCCTAGGTTCGCCTCAAATCTGTGGCTTCGTTGCCTGCCTGTACTCGACTCCTCTCGATCATGCGCTGAGATGACCGTCGTCCTGATACATTCCGGGTTGCCGATTCCAGAGCCCAACCGACAATAACCTGACTTGACCAGATATACCTGTCATCATACGACCCATACTCGAATTCTCGCACATAGATCACTCTTACTGGCCGCTGGACATCAATCGCGAAAATGCAACTTCCCCCCACCGACGTCCTTTTGACTTGGCCGCCGGCAAACTATACAAACCCTGTCACCCGTGGAAATGCGGTACTCATAGTGACAATTACTTGCTTAATCCTATCTACGCTGGTTACCATTCTTCGAATCTACACCCGGATGAGGATAACATGTACCGCTGGCTTAGACGATGTGCTGATCATCTTTGGTCTTGTTCGTCGTGTTCCTTCCCTTCAACATTCTACATCGGATCCATGCCTGACTGATATTAGGGCTTTGCGATTGCCATGGGTGCTGTACTGTCTGTGGCAGAACAAAAATGGGGATGGAACCGACATATCTGGGACGTACCGCTAGATTGGCTCCCGACGGTCTCGAAGCTGAATCTCACCTTCCAAATACTCTTCTCCCTGTCGTGCTCTATAACCAAACTTTCCCTGCTATGGTTTTGCAAGCGGCTGCTCGGTGCTGGAAGCAAAGGTCTCTCTTCGCCTTACAACATTGCGATGATAATAGGCATGGTCGTTGTGGGGCTGTCCAGTGCCCTTTTTATACTCTTTAGCATATTTCAGTGCCTGTGAGTTCGCTATCCCCTCATTATATCGCATGGGTTCTAATTTGTGTAATTTGGTAAGTCCGGTTCACGCCTATTGGGACTTGGAGCCACAGTATCCGCACCGTTGCCTCAATGACGGGGCGATCGTGTTCTCTGCCAGTGTCATCAACATCTTCACTGATGTTCTGGTGACTATCCTGCCAATGCCTCTGATCTGGAACTTGAAATTGCCCACACGACAACGAGTTGCTGTGATATCTATTTTCGCGTTGGGAATCGTGGTCGATATTGCCGGATCACTTCGAACAGTTTACGTCTGGAAAAGTATGATCGCATCCTATGACACTACATGGGAGGGGTGGCCTGTTCTCCTCGCAGCAACGGTGGAAATCAACCTTGGCTTGGTACGTGAACGCTTTTCCTAGCACATCACGCCAGAAACCTATCGCTGACCTTCTTAGATTTGCACCTCAGCTCCTGCGCTCCGACCCTTGGTCACATTCTTCCTTCCCCGCCTGCTCAGCTCTACCCACCGATACGGGTCCAACCGCCAGAGTCGCTCCTTGAAGCTATCCTGGAGGATACGGTCAACAACAGATGCATCAAAACACTCTAGAGCTTCGCGCCATTTTGCATCCCGGGGTGAGACTCCAGCCGAGCGATTAGAAGTGTTCCGCACTGTGGAGATGAAAACATACTCCGAGTCTCGTAAAGACCAATCCATTGGGAACGCCTATGACATATCTACGGACCGCAACTATCCGAAGCATGCAGACGAGATACATCTCAACAACGGAAGTGGGATCTTTCAACCCTCATCCGCCAGCGAGAGATCAATATCACCACCTTCGCCCTCGGTCAGAAGCGACCCGAGGGGTATTCCCCCCAGCCGAGCGAACGAATCAGTGTAACAACATTTATTGAATTCTTTCTCCTATGTTTTATGTATAATGAGCTTTATGGGATGATTTATGGGCGGATATACTCTTTAAATTTTGATTAAATAAAATAATGCCTCATGGTTTTTGAGCATTGGACTCTTGGAGGTTGCCACGAACCACTGCATCTTCACATGAAACTCGCGGAGCGAATGGAACCTCAACTCGTTCTCTTGCAGGGATCGGAAATTACGTTATAGGACGCCTTAGCTTGTTTCTTCGAGTTCCTGAACTTGCTGAGGTTCTGGAACGGCGATAAAGTTTGATGGTCTTACACTATATCAGTGGATTCAAGTCCGAGCGGCCAATAAAGTAAGTTTATGTACTGACACTTGGATGAAGGCTGTGGAAAGCTGATTGAAGTGCCGAGGTGATAGTACGACTCCGTACTAGTATCACTTTGGTCAACTGGACATCTACTGCGAGTGGTAAGAGTTCTACACTCGAGATGGCTCCGAGGTATATGTATCCGGAGACGTAAGGGACGTCTTCGTTGTGATCAACATGGTATACGAGCATACCAGGTTTTCCTTTCCAATTATCGACATCGGTGCTTCGTCTGTTAAACTCCAACAATAGCCTAGGTAACCACTGCGGACACTATATTCGCAGCTTTAGTACTGACAGGGCTAGCGCCTAAAAGCTTCCCCCATATACTTTTTCCGAGATGAGGCCCATGGTGTGGTTAGTAAGTTCGGATAGAAGAATTGTAGGGTCAAAATACTCAAGGAATAAAAAAACAAATGATCCCCAGAGCCAGAATCGAACTGGCGACATTCTGATAACAAAGTAATATTACAGTCAGACGCGATCAACCAACTACACCATCCGGGGATAAGCAATAGCAAACTTTAAATTTTTTGCATCTATAAGCAGGTAGCAGGGAATCAGCCTAAGCTGCCTCCCCGGCCCTCGACACTTGAGCTTTGCGCTGTCCCTATTTGCTCGACCACATTCTAGACATCTCACGCCATGCATATCCCAGCGGACCTCAAGTCGAGTCATGACAGGCCATATCTGCCCCCTCGGTTCATCAGATTAAATAGGCGCACTAGAAATTATACGCAATTCTACCTCCATAAAGACGGTAACAGCACAATCACGGGGCTAAACCTGTCAGTCCGAGAGAGAGCCACTTCAGTACTCCGTACTGAGTAGCCCGTGCCCGTGACAGTGAGTTGAACCACAGAAGTCTAGCTATATATAAACCTCCTGTATGATACTATCGTTGTCTTATTGGATTTACAAGGAATATGAAGACCCGTGGCCGTTCTCACTAACGATCAACCAGCTTGAGGGGATCGAGCGTAATCCAAGATATTCCAGTACTCATGAGCTCTAAACAAAATCAAGCTGTCACGAACATCACCCCCGATGGTCTAGTTGGATATGGCGTTCGGCTGTAATGGAACTCAATCTTTGTAACCGAAAGGTCGCCGGCTCGATTCCGGCTCGGGGGAGTTTTTTTTTTTTGTTTTCTAGTTTTATTTTTTCCCCCCCCACAAAAACCCAGCTTCACTATAATGTGGCGGCACATCTCACTTTTCTCTTTTTTGTTTCTTCCCTCGCTCTAATTGCAATCTAGATAACTAGTGACTTTCTTATCACAAAACGGTATTCATTACTCCCGTGGCCAGACCCGATAACACGCTGCGACACCCATGCTGCACCGCCGGCCGAGGGGATGACCAAGCATAATAAGCAACAAACCAAGAACAAAAAAAATGTAACAAAAGGTGTAGATAGATCCCCAGAGCCAGAATCGAACTGGCGACATTCTGATCACAAGAAGAACTCCATTACAGTCAGACGCGATAAACCAACTACACCATCCGGGGATTTATGGACAGGGTCGCGAGATTTAGTGGCTTGGATTTCTTTAGGGCTTCATTTCCAGCCCTACACCACTCTATCGAGAGAATGCAACGTATGGCTACCCACCATTGTGCTAATGCAAGGAATCATTTTTACCTGTTGATGCACATAGGAGAAATGTAATGCTGCAGGGGCGAACGTTCCATCCTCGATACACTGTTCTTGTTTGCTCTTGCAGGAGTCTTTCGTCTACGGGATGGACATACATTAGATCTCCTCCAGTCGCCGGGTAGATCGGGGTAGACCACCTCGACACTGCCCAGGTGCACAGTCTCTGCTACAACAACTCAATCTTCGCCCAGCTCCAATGCCTAGACACGTCCCACAGACGATGCCATATCCAATTAGCCTGAGCTTCTCGCCCGGCTAGGGTCGGATCAAGACTGCCATGGAAGACGAGACATCCCAGTCTCAGCCCGCTCTTTGTTTCAGTCTGAACGTTAGAATGTCTTCAAGCGGCAGTGTCCTTGAGCTGGTATGGGTCTGTCGTGAGGTTCGAGGACTCATCCGGTCTTGAAAGGTATCAGTGGACCAAACCCAGTACTAAGCCGCACGCTGGAAAGACGATGAAAAACAACTGGCGGAAGAAAAGAAAAGCAAACCAACAACGGCTGGTCCTTCGTAGGGCTTGTCGAGCGAGACCTTTGATTATCTAATTGGTATTCAACTTATCAAAAAGTAAAAAAGTTGTCTGTTGTCCCCCGAGCCGGAATCGAGCCGGCGACCTTTCGGTTACAAAGATGTTTTCCATTACAGCCGAACGCCATATCCAACTAGACCATCGGGGGCTGTTGCTCCGGTTTCGGAGACTTGTGATATATAGCCCAGTTAGCTATTTGTTCCTTAAACCAATTGCAACCACCTTTCTACATATCGCCCTCCAACGTTTTCCTGAGGCATGTGTACCCCCTTTTTGGAGGCTAAATGGTGCCATAAGACTCTAGATTACGGTTAAGTTCGCCAAAAGCCTTGTTTAACTTTTCGGGTAGCTAATTTTGGAGAGAGAGATATACAACGTATATACACACATATATACACACATATAACGTGCCAGGTTGCTGAACATGCAATCCTCGCCTTTTGCGGAATTGCGGTATATAATCGCGCGGTGTGAACCGACACGGAGCACCTCCATCTGCCTGTTTGTCGTGGCATATCCCAGGGTACTGCAGCTCATAGAGCCCGGTGGTTCCCGTTGGCCTCTCAATCCCTCTTCAAGCCAACCTTGCCAGCCTTCCTCAACCCGAAAAACCCAACCACCGTACACAGAATCATGAACCCAAACATGGTCCAGAAGGCCGCCCGGTACCCAGCCATCAGAGCCTCGGCCGATTCGTCGTCCCGCTCGTCCGTCACAACAGTCGAGATGACCTGCAGAATAGCCAGACCCAGAGCACTTCCGAATTGCGCCGCCGTGTTGAAGACTGCGCCCGCCAGTGCTTGCGTGTCATCGGGGAAGCTATTGGTGATGACAATGAGACCAACCGTGTAGAGAGCATCAAAGCTGACGGGCTGCAGAAGCTGCGCAACAAAGGCGTTACCCCAGTATGGCCAGGACGGCTGCACAACAGCCATGAGGAGCGGGGCGCCAGCGCATAGGATCGATGTGATAGTTACGATCCAGACGGCGGGAATCTTGTGCACAAAGATACCAATGACAAGGTTTAGGAGAACACCGACGACGAGACTGGGGAGAATGCGGATGGATGCGTCGAGGGCGGAAAGATGCTGGACTTCCTGGAAGCTGTTGAGTGATTAGTTGACGCAGAGAAGATAATCGAGCGTGGACTGGGACATACAACAAGCTAGCAAAGAGCTCCATGGAGTTGATAACTGCATTTGACATGGCGATCGTCGCGCAGATGCTTGAGAAAGCCGTGTTCCGCCATAGCGAGTTTGGGATAAGGGCCGGTTTATTCCTCTGGACTTGACGATGAGCCCAGCCAAGGAAGGCTGGTAAAGCCGTGGCAGCGAGGCACAAAATGACAATGCTTTCAGCAGACTTGATCCGAGAAGGGTTGGCGCTCACAATGCTGTTCGTTTATTAGTTCTCCGACGCTTCTACAGAATGCCAAGGGACTCACGCGAGGAGATAGCACAGCAAAGCCATAAATGCAGAGGCCAAACCCGCGCCTACCCAGTCAATCTTGGTCCGGACATTATGCAGGAGATCCGCATAACGAGTTGTTCCGCCTCGAGGCAATGCCCATAAACCAACAACGGCAAATAAGAGAGTGATGCCTGCAGAGATGTACCAGCCCGAACGCCAACCGATCGTATCCACCAGGATGCCTCCAATGACCAGGCCCAGCGAGAACCCAAGGGGCTGGCTAAGACCCAAGCACGAAAAGGCAACATTTCGACCCCGTCCCGGGGGCAGAAGCTGCGTCACGATGGAAATCGAAGCGGCCAAGTGCATCGCGAGACCGACTCCCTGGAGAGCTCTTAGTGCAACTAACTCCTGGCCTGTTCGACAAAAGCCCTGGCCGAGCATCAGAGCACCGCTGGCAAAGCAGCCGACCAGCTCAACCCATCGCGGGCCAATTGTGTCGGCGACGGAGCCTGCCAGCAGAAGAGTCGAAGCAGTAGCGAGACTGCTCACTGAAGATGGCCAAAAGGAAAGCGAAGACGGTATTTGAAGGTCTTTGGTGATTGTAGGCAAACCAACAATCACCAATCCATTGATGACACTGGCAGTTAGAGTCACGGCGAATAGCTGGGTCAAGGCAACAACTTGTCGCAATCGTGAATCCCGCACTGGTGGCCGCGGCACATGGTGGGTTGACACAGGGTTGCTGGTAATAACTTCAAGCCGCAGGGGCTCGACTGGAGCAATTGTTGCAGTCGTGGTGACAGACATCTAGTGTGGTTCAAGGATGAAGGAAGACTGAAAGACTGAAAGACTGAAAGACTGACGGTCGCGATAATGTGCGATTTTAAATGCCCAAGCGGGGAATGACGAGGCTACGCCCTTGGAGGTTTGGTCTGTCGGGTGCATTTCCGAGAAGTCAATTCTGGTGGAAGCTGGAGTCATGTGGAGCAATTTTTTAGCGTTCCAATGCGTATTACGCAATAATGCCATCGGTGTGGATTTAAGCGATCATTGAAGTTCAAGGTGACTCTCGCGTCCTGACAGGAGCAAAGGGTGATTTTATACAACTCTTGCAGCTATGGTCCGTCCGAGAGTTGACTCACACTCTGATACCTACACCCCCGCACCGAGCCCGAGTCGCCTACAAAGCATGCGATGTCAGACCATTGCTGGGGCCATGTTTAACTCCAGCTTCTATAGTTGTGCTGTCATGGGTTTTCCGTGCATATGTTGTACGTGAAGTCAGTCTACTGTGTATCTGTCAGTAGGGCATGATGTTGCAGTAAGTTTTTCACAGAAGCAGAAAAGACCTATTATGGCTCTCTACATTATGAAACCATATCCCACACACCTCTTAAGCAACACTAACTCATGTTCAGATTAATAACTACCATGCACTGCGGCGCCCATGGCTTTGGCTACACTCACTCGACATGAGGATGGCGAGCCACTGGGCGCGGATTCGCTCTTGACAAGAAGCCGAATCAAACCAATTCACGGCTCGATCGAGTAGGGAGTTGAGGGGTACTCGATTCTCAATTATTCATTTCGTTCGAGGGGAAACGCCGAGCTCTCGAGGCTACTTCCTATATAGCTATGGAAGAAGACAATTCGTTACTGGTGACAGAAGTTGGTATTGCCTTCTGACTCTGATCTGCAGTAATCGATGACAAAATATGAAACAGTATGCTAATACATGCGAATCCCAGTCCGCATAGCCCCTTGAAAACATGCTCAAGCCTGTCTTGCACTACACCTAGTTACAACTCGGAGAAACCGAGTTTGTTTCACCAGCCGCCAGAGACCCCAAGGTGTTCTGCTGCGTTCCGCGCAAGACATAACTTGCACTTCATTATCAACGAAAACCATGTCCTCTCCATCTTTCCCAGGCCGGTGATTCGAAACCCGAGCCCCTTGGTTTCTCTATATACTCGCGCTCATCCGGACCGATACACACCAATTGGTCCTTCAAGAAGCAGAATCCCCACCGTCTATCAAGTCGAATATCAGGGTACTATGAACTATACTTCCAGTGTCATAAGCCAGTGCTATATACAAAGAGCATGAAACAAGGAGCATCGATATGTGCGCCCAGAAAGGGACTGTCATTGCGCCTGGGAGCGTCTAGATACCGAAGGAAACGGCTAGTTTCGAAATACGCTTTACAGTGCCGAGAGAGGCGTCTGTGAAAGAGGTGGAGAGGCTCTGGTGGGCGTTATGAGAGTCGTGGACTTGAATGCTGGTTTGGACTATAAAATAAGTTGAAGGGTTCGAGTTAGGGTTAGACAACGTGCAGTGCATGACTAGGGCCTTTGGGCGGTGCCGCGGTGGAGTTGCGTACTACTGACGGGATTCGGTAGTACTACTTACTGGGCAAGGTTGTAGGATGATAAGGTGCCACTTGACATTCGGGGAGTCTCGTCCGCCAGGTGTCTCTAAGCTCATAGCCAAGTTGAGGGACTGTACACCACAGGAACAGAGCACAGCACAACTCTGCTTACCTCTCTCAGTAGTCCACGTCAGCGACATTTATTCCAGACATCGTTTTTTTCTTTTTCTTTCAAAGTCACCCGACAAACCTGAGAGCCCGGAATACACCTGAATCGCGATGACGTCGTCGGGTAAATGCAGTGCAATTTGCCTAAAGAGGTCGGGGAGTGTCGGCCGCTCACAAAACTTTGAAGCTCGGCATCCCCGCGCCGTGTTAGTACTCGTCGTCCAGCATTCTCCAACTGCGAGTATTTAGGTTGGACAAGATGTCTGCGAGCTCCGATTCCACGAGCAACTTTTATCATCATCTGTTACTTCTGCCTCCATACTTGAAGAGATAACGAGAGGATCATCACCCACCATGTCCTCTGCCACGGAACA